GGGACGAGCCGGGGCCGGGCCGGGCCCGGGCCGGGCCCCCGCCGAAGGTTCTGCTCCGGCGGAGTCGAGGCACCCTTGTACAGGACGCCAGCCCTGGCTTTCAGGCTCTGAAGACTGGCGTGCCCCGCGTTTGCTCTGTGCCCTTCGGAAAGGCACCGCAAACTCTCTCTTGGCTATGGACGGCTTCTGCTAGGGAGCCCTGATTTTTAGATCTCGGGCTTAGTGGTTATTTCTCACCAGCGTGCCCTGAAATTTAATTTTTGTTAACTTAAAATACTGAGCGATAATCCTGGCCCAGTAATTGGAAAAACTGACATCAGTTTCCTTCTGCTGTGTAAAGAAAGCCCAATGCTACTTTCAGCCTGTTATTTGCCAGCATAAGGATTTTACAACCCTTTTTCCTGTTTTGGGAGGCAATATGACCTAAATGAAACCAAACATCAAGTTGTTAAATTAGCACAGACAGGAATCCAGCTGCATACTTTCTTTGAAATCCTCATTAGCATGTTACCCTGAACTGTAAGATGGCTGAGGGATTCGTTTCTGAGAATGCTTCAAGGTTTCTCAACAAGCTGCTGCTGCAGATCTATAGCTGACTATAGGGATAAATCCTAAAATCTATGCTTGCCAGTAAGGTCAAGGCAGCCAGCGGAGATGTATCGAACCACACTGTCAGAGGTAGACGTTTCAGGCCAAACTCATTCCTGGTGCAGCACTGCTAATTCCTTTGAAGTAACACGAGGGATGAATTTAGTCCCTCATGCTGAAAGATATATCAATAGGAAGCAATTTAGATTGGGCCACTTAAAGTGCATGTAATACAAAAAAGAGAGAGAGACTGAGGAGTAATGCTTTAAGGGTTCATAGAGGTTGATTTGTGTAAGCTAGTGAGGTTGTAGCATTGCCGTCCCAAGGGGAAGTTGGGGGAATGGGAAATTGCCTTTTATAGCAGAGCCTCAGGTTAACAGGAGACAGGAAAGTAGTTTTAGGATTACTGTGTAAATTGGCAGTGTTACAGGCTGCCCTTCCAAGTTACACTTCAGTCACACAATGGCACCTATTCACCTCACTCTCTTCCCCAATTATCTGGAGACATACCCAGCTACAGAGTTTACATTTCCTTCACCCACCTTCTCTTTTTCACACAATGCACCAAATAATGATGTTGTCTGAGTTCTGACATTTTTTTTTAAGAGAAATTGGTAACTCAGTTGTAAAACCGTGTTGCTTTGTTCTCTAAGAACTTGAGAATCTGATGGAGCGTACACAAGATAACTAATCACTGAGAGGGTCCTGTCATCTGACTCACTCTAGGTCCTGATACGCTTTTGTGGGCTCATAGCAGGGAAACTGCATTATTCTCTGTAGCTGTTAATGATCCTTGCTAAATATTTTTGGAGCTTTGGACTTTGCCATAGTGATAGACTGCTAATCTTGTCAGAAAGCAAGCAGTTGTTTGCCCAGTGTAAATTGGCAAATGAATATTTTATTATTTTATAATGGGTGGGAGGCATGTGAATGGAAGACTTGGTCATTCAGAGATTGCAGCTGCTTTTCTCTGGGGATCTCACATTGTGTCTCTCTTTGGCATTTCAGAATAGCTGCTGGAAAGCTGCCCTGCCGTAGCCGCTGACGCTATGGAAGACCGCATCCACTGGTCTAGGCTGTAGGATGGTAGCGCACAGCAAGGTGTCAGCAGATAATGCAGTTGCAGCAGACCCAAGATGTCTACTTGACCTTCCAGCACGGGATCGTTCACAGGCTCGAGGCTACCACGGCCCAGGCCGGCCCAGCACTGTGCAGGCACAGAGCAACACGCATTTTCGAACCTTTCGCTCACAAGCGGATTTTAGTAGCATCACTCGAGCAAGCAGCCTGCTGGATGCCTGTGGCTTCTACTGGGGACCTCTGACTGTCAATGCTGCCCACGAGAAGCTGAAGTCTGAGCCTGAGGGCACCTTCCTCATCAGGGACAGCACGCAAAAGAATTGCTTCTTTGCCATCAGTGTTAAGACTGCGACTGGGCCCACCAGCATCCGGATAAACTTTCAGACTGGGCGTTTCAGCCTGGATGGCAGCAAAGAGACTTTTGACTGTCTTTTTAAGCTGCTGGAACATTACTTAAGTTCCCCAAGGAAGGTACTGGTTACCCCCCTGCGCAAAGTCCGTGTGCAGCCCCTGCAGGAGCTCTGCCGGAAGAGCATTGTGAAGACTTTTGGAAGGGAGAACTTAAACCAGATCCCCCTCAATCCTGTTTTAAAGGACTATCTGAAATCCTTTCCATTTCAGATATAAGTACAGCATTAACTGTATAGGGATGCACGAGATGCATGAAGAAATCCAGCTTCCTGGGTTTTTAAACATGTTTGACTGTGAGCAAACTTATTTTTGTAGCAATTTACTGTATTTTGGAATGGAACTTGAACACTCGACTTCTTATGTTTACAAAAACTGTTTGCACAAACCTGGGGTTTTAAAACCCTGGCATATTTTTTCTGCCAAGCAGAATATTTTATTATTTTATAATATTTTTAATGATATTAACATAATAAACTTTATTGTGAAAGTTTTTAAAAAAATAGCATCTCTGTTTTTAGTTTTAAAGGCTCTGGTACCTATCCTGCTGCCAAACTTTAACTGCTGATTGTGTGTAAGTGCAGACAGATCTCCAACGTGGTCCTCCTGCTCTTTGCCCTACCAAACTAGCCTGTTTTAGTGCTAGTCCAGCAGACAGAGGATTCCTGTCCCAAAAAGCCAAAAATAGAAAGATGCAAGCAAGTAGAAAATGTACTCAGGCTGAATCTGCCCAGGAATCTAGCTCTCCTCTAAATCCATGAGAGCAGGAACAGTGTGTTAAGACTATAGCTGTGCATAGGTGTTTTGAAAGAGTGAACCGAACCCTTGGCTGAGCTAATTGCATGAACTCTGGCTTGCCTTATGTCTATTAAAAGCTATAACGCTCTAAGCAAGAAGAGGTTGCTGTCTGATATAACCAAACCATATGAACGTCGGTGGGGAAAAACAGAACTGCCCAGAAATGCCATTCACACCCTTTAAAAGGCCATGAAACCTGTGGCATTGTGATGCATTGGGGGAAGGATAGCTTAGTTCTCTCTTTAAATTGGCATACACAAAATGACAAAGGTGCAGACATCTTTAGACTTCAAAAAGGTGTTTCATGTCTTAAATTCCTGGTGATCTACAGAGCACAGACTTGATATTTTAAAAGAATCTGTGACTTAGCTCCATGACAGGATCCAGAGAGCGTAAGCCTCTAGATTTGCAGCTGTAATTTCTAGTGGCTAAACTGCATTCAGGGAAAGTTAAAATACATTAGACTGTTTTGTAATACCATTTGTAGGAAACTGGTGAAGGCACCACTGGGTTTCTATCTGCTCATAAAATGCAAAATCAGTGCCCCATAGAGCTGTAACTGTGAATGACACGAGATGCCTAATTTGGCAAAATGTCACCTGCATTATGATAAAGTGATTCTCCTCTCTCCCAAGCACTTCCTGAAATCCATGAAAAGCTGACTTAGAAAACCAGCTGAACCAAATCACTTCAAAGGCAGCAGTCTTTCACAGAAATGTACTCTCTCAGCACAGACCTACGGTGCTTACAGTAACTGTAAGCAGTAAATGAAGTCATCTTCAGGGTTTGGAAGACAAAACGTGTCTCTACTGTAATTCACATTCCTTTTAAAGCTAAAGCCACTTTTAGGAAGCATTGAGTATGTTTTATATAGTGTTCCTTACTGAATAATTTGTTTACTATCATTCACTCTACAAAATCAGCTCTTACATTGTTGATGTTTCTTTGGAATAAATAGGTTTCCTCCTCAAACATGACTAAGGATCACTCACAGTCCGTTGGGAAAAAGCAAGAACATACAGGCAGTATCATGTGACCCTCCACTGTGCTGCTTCCCTAAAAATGTTCTTTGCATCGGCCCTGCCTAGCAGTCTCCCATTCCCTTGTCAGCCATCCCTGGCTGAGATTAGCAGACAAAATTTCTGCTTAATTCTAAAGCTAGAATTAGTTGCCGAATGATGCATTTTCCCAGAGCAGCTGCAAGGATATAAATGGGGGAAGTAGTGAATGCTGTGCTATGCAGCAGATACCAGAGCAGAGCAAAGCGACTGCCTGAATGTGAATAGCTTTAAGAAGTTAAACTGGGGGGGAAGTCTTTGTAGGGTGAAGGCTGCCAAACTGGTTTGCTGTCAGCAGAGATGGTTATCCCTTTCCCCTTCCTCTTTTCCCAGCCCCACACTGTGGTATCTCTTAACCCTTCAGGCCCCAAACTAATGACTCTTGCCTGGCTATATAAATGAGTGTCCACATGACAGCATTAGTGGTAGAACAAGTGCAATGTTAGCTTAGAAGGTTCTCTACTACCCCTGATAAAAACAAACAAAACTGGACCTAGATATACAGTAAGGGGCTTCCCACTGGGAGGCATAGAATGAAAAGCATAAGGATTGAGCCCATTTCATTTTCTTCCTGGCAGAAACAAGCCTACTTTCTTTCTCTCTCCCTTTTATTGCTTTAGAGTAAGTTTAGCAGAAATGATCCATATCCTTCCACACCAAGTGCCTAAATCCCTTCATTTTGTCTTTAATATGAAATGCAAACGTGGGATAGCTCAGAAAAAATATAATCAAAACTATAAATAAGGACAAGAAGGTCAGAATTGTATAAAAGGTCTCTTAAGGAAAGAGGAGACAAAGCTGGCTTGTATTTTTAAACTACATATCTTTTCACCTGCCTTATTCTTCTTCCCCTTCCTTCCTTTCCTTCTCTCTTTCTCTCTCCAGCATACAATACAATGGCCAGGCAGATCCTCTTTCTAGCAGATATACGTAGGTTGCTCCAAAGCAGCTAAGAAATCTTACCCGCAGTATGTGTGCTCACAATGTCACTCTGACTTGCCCTCTGTAAGAACTAACGAAGGGCTCTCTAAAATGTCTGCTTACCTGTGTGCACTGATTTAAGGGGCATAGCAGGAGTCTCCTGAAGATTTCTTTAGTAATTCCAGCTGTCAAATCTCTCATCCTCTGTTTAATAAAGTACCAGCAAGGTCAAATAGGGAATTTGCTGTATTCTGCACCTAAAGCAATGGAAACACATAACGGTGCAGTGATTTTAATCCTCCCTGCTAAATAACACGCGAAGAGTGGTGTTTCCAGTCCCTCCCCCTCTTGCCCAGCTCTTTCCTCTGACCTTTTCACTCCCGGCTGTGGCTGGAAAGTGAAGTAAACAGTCAATCTGGTGAAGGACTACGGAAGAACTTGAGCCATGCTCAGGAGCAGAGCAAAGCCACGTTTTCTGAAGAGACTGCAAAATTTATAGTTAGTGGGGTAGGGACAGCTTTAAAATAATACCGTTTGCAGCATGGCGAGGACCGTGGGGGTCTCTGTCCCACAGAGAACAGCAGGGTGGGAACTGCACAGCAGGGTTCTGCTGGGACACCACCCCAGCCCTGCTCCGGTGCAATGCTCCTGTGACTATACAGACAGCAAGGCTGAGGCTTCCTTGCTTTTTAAAGACTGAAACACACATTTGCTTTCAGAGTAGGTTAATTTACATACCATGCTGCAGCTGTAAAACACTTGCTAATGAATAGAGCTAATTAATAGAACTGTAGGTGTTCAGAGAACCTGGTTAATTTAGCCGTGAAGAGTCACTGAATGCTCAGTGGGAGCCTCTTGAATGACAAGCATAACTTTACCCACTGTGAAGCTGTGGTCACACTAATTCTGTTATGATTGAAGTCATTTACAAGAAGTGAGGCTTCAGCTGCAGTCAGCACTGATGCTATTTTCAACGGTCAAGAAAAAAGTGTCCCCCAGGGCAACACGCTGACCTTATCTAGCCATCAATACTCTTCACCCAGCTTGTACTTAATCCTCTATTGAACAGCGTATCCACCTCCTGAACCTTCTTCAGATCCAGTGTCAGCCCTTTCTGTTGTGCTGGGCTGTCATTCAGTCCCTGGCTCTCCTTCCACCTCTCCATTCATGGTGCTGACAGCTGTGTGAGCAATGCATTTATTCATTAATTCCAGCTTTGAGACAAGGGCTGTGTAATAGCTACACTCTTGCAGTCCACAGCTCTGCAACATATCATGTAGCTATCACCTGTATGTATTTGGCATGTACCATATTTGTATGATTGTATGCAAAGTAGTTGGTGCCTTTCTTAAAGGTAATAATTTCAGTTCCAGTATTCTCAGCCCAGCACATTTGGTAATGTAATTTCCATTTTCATACAAGAGTTTCTGGCTGCTGTAAATTTTCTTATTACTGTTGCTGCACAGAAAAAGCTAGTGACTGGCTGAGCTGTGTTAATAGAGCATACGATCAACCTGCTGTTCAGCCTAAGTTTGCTATAGTTTTCCTCTCTATGGACATTAATTACGAAGGTCCAGGTGTACAATGGCATTTACAACCAATATTGCTCTTATAATTTGTCAGTTATGCCAAATGATTCCTCTAAGTTTCCATTCAGTAAAAAAAAGAAAAAGAAGGCTGCAATGAGAGAAATCTTGGACCTTACAGGGGGTTCATGACTGGCCCAGAGGGCAGAGCTGTCTAAACCATCTCAAGCTTTATGCACAGACTGTTTTATAGCATTCAGTATGCTGTTGTGCACTGGGTTTGTATACACTTCCAACAACCAATATATGTGCATCTGCTGCTGTAATTCATCAGCTCACTGTGAAAAGCAGTTAACTCCTTTCTGGAGTGGATAGCTGAAGCAGCAGGAGTCTAGAAGGCGGCTCAGAGATGATACGAGTGTTTGCACATAGTGACTCCTGGGTTTCTCCATCTTTCTCTAAAGCCTGAGAAGCCAGACACAGTAAGCATCTCATGAGTGGTGCAGATGACCTTCTCAGCTAGCCTGTGTGTGTTTAGGGCCAGACTGACTGTCATGATGGGAGTCCAGGTCAGATTGGCAGTTAAGGGATGTTGTTAAAGGATGTTTTTTTCAACAGGCTGCAGTATCATTTGTCCTTGGGAATTAAATAAGAATATCTCACCTAATTTGTGCGTTGCAGTTGTAAAGGTATCAAGCACTGGTGAGACTTTAAATGACTTCAACTTTCTGCCAGGGACACACAGTTTTGAGGACTTTAAGCTTAGCACAGAACACACCAGGAACACTTCATGTCTTCTAATATGCAAAGTCGAATGAGTGGCCCACATGCCACTCTGGGCTTGAATTTTATGAATAGAAGCCGTGTACATACTGATCAGAGGGATTTTCTCTGGAGTCTAAATGCAAATAAAGGAGGACAGCTTTTGTTTTAGGAGCAGAGAGTGAGAAGGAGTGTGAAATAGCAGGGCATACTGAATCTGTAAGGCACAAAGGATGCTCCAGTTAGCCACAGAAGTACTTGGGATAGAAAAAGAAAATAGGAAAGAACAGAAATTCAGCCTTTGGGTGAAGTGCTGCTGAAATGAGGCTTAGGACTCTGAACTTGAAACAAGGAAACTATCGCCTCCCCTGTGATTCTGGAATCTTGTATTATATAGTTGTCCAAAATATCTATTCATAAATAGTT